GGATGGAATTTTCTGCACAAGGCTATGAATGAAGTATAAGGTTGGCTCCATGGGTTTTTATTTAAATTGTTTAACTTTTGTGTGCGAGGAGAGAGAGTCACTTGGTCATTTTGCAACTGATTAAACTTTCTTAAAGGTTGCTTTAGGCTGTATCCCACCCCACCCCCCATCCCAGCATGAAATGGTTTAGATGAGAATTAGGTTCATATTTGTAAATATATATACCTACTGTATTGAACTTCGGATATGCAGTTGCCAATAGCTGTTTTCATTACCATTAAGTATTTCAACAGAAAAATAGATGTGTTAGTACAATGTGTCTGTTTGCAGTATATGTTTGTGGTGTATAGAATCTTGCATATGTGTCTACTCAAAAGTAAGTCCCATTGTTTTCACTAGGGCTCACTCTCAGGTAAGCGTGTACAGTATAGGACTACAGCCTTATATGGTTAACAAAAAAAAACCCCAACTGCTTACAATAATGAGTCCTTTTATAAATGTTATATTTAGAACATCTATTTGGAGAAGAAAACCTTAGCCCCTTCCTGTGCACTTCTGCCTGGAAGTAAATTCTGTTTACATCAGTGAGGCTTCTTCTTAGCAAATGATCTAGAGCCTGAACAGATGAATTTGATAGTCAGGAAACATTATTGATCCAAATAACCACCGTTAAAAGTTCCTAGTCTAATAGCGTCTTTTACTTAATGACACACACGCATTTGCTTTATATTGCTATCTGGAGAATGTTTGATGGGGAAAGCTTATCTTCCTTATTTTTATTCCTCCTATCCCTTTTATCCAGCATAATGCTGCTTAAGTAGTTTTTCATTATTATTATTATTATTTTTAAAGCAGCAAAGATGTCCCTGATTTATATTCTGGAAGAATTGCTGATTTATTATTATTATTATTATTATCATTTTGAAGTCTTGCAAACATGATGAAGAAGATTTCCCCACTGTATCCACGTGGTTGATATTGTGTGTATGTGTGTGTGTGTTGTTTGCTGTTTCCTTTTTGCCATGGATCTGTTTTAAAGGAAAATCTCACCTGGGAAAAAACCACACACACGCCTCCCTCCGAGAAGTCCCTTGTGCCTAGTGGGAACTCTTGCTGTCCGAAGCCCTTCTTCTGTTGTACTACTGGCAGTTATGATTAGCAGTGCAATATTAAAAGGGCATTGGCTGGCAGATACAGACCCTCCCCTCTCTCCAGAATGGCCAACTGTAGGGACCATGCTTCCTCCAGAGTATTTATGCATATGTGTGTGTGTGGGGAAAAGAATATTAAGATTTGTTTCATGTAGGTATGTCAACGGAACCAGGACTCTAGCATGCAACACTCCCCCCCCAAAAAAACCCTTTTATGTGTTCTGTTTATTGTGTAGGATTCCAAAGGGGAATTGGGACACCCTGCGCTTTAATTCCCTCCCACCTTTCTGTTGTGCCTCTCGTTAAAATGTTAATAATGGCGGTTCCTTCCCTGTAACGGTGTATTGATAAATGCTTGTGTATGTTAAGATAGCCAACCATCTGCTTCGTATGTGGCTGAATTTTAAATGCTTTTGTTTTTGATTTGCATGGTGTTTGTTTTGCTTTTTAAAAAATAATATATATATATATATGGGGGTGTGTGCTCTGGTGGTGTACTCTTTAAAATATACTGTAATTGTGCAAACGCTCTTCGGAATGATTCCGGGCTGGGTTTTTATAGGGTGGCACATTCTTTACAATACCACACGCAAGCCAATTGTTTTACTATTCCACATCCTGTAGGCGTATAGACAGGTCTCTTTGGGAAAATGCTGTGGATTCCGCAACATTGTTCACAACACATTCAAAGTGCTCTTTTTTAAGTTTTAAAATGTCTGTGATGCTGAATTGGGGGAATATGTAGAGGGGGACTTCAGTGTAATTGGGTCATTTTAGAAAATGTTGGGGGAAAGGCTGGTGAAAACAAATCATTTGGGAATGTCTTCACTATTTATTTGCAATAATGTTTGACTTCTTCAGTCCAGAGCCTGCCTTTGCTATTGAACTGAGATGTGCATATACTGCAGCATACTGTATAAAGTTAAAGAGAGGATACCCATAACCCTTCCTCCTGGTCTCATTCCATAACTTTCACTGCAATCCTGTGTTATGTTTACTTGGAAACAAGTCCCCAAAAGCTCAAAATTACACCCTTTCAGATTTGTGCATAGGATTGCAGTAATAGACATGATTTAAAATAAAAATATGCACACCCAAACAAAGCTGATAACCTAGGAATTTGAAGTAGCTTTCCACCCAGCCCTTTGCAATAGAGAAAATTAATGGTATATGCACCTACACTGCCTATGTTACAGCTGAGTCCTGTTTTCCTGTAGTCCGTACGAAAGGAAAAAAGATACACAATATCTGCTTTTCTGTGTGTTTGTGTCCTTGCTCTAACCTTGACTAATGATGATCTCAGATAAAACTTGAAATCATTCTGATTTTGATTTTATTGGGGATCGCCAGCCCTGCCAGTTATTGTGTTGCAACTATCTCTTGTATTAACAAATCCTTGTTTTGTTTTTTTTAAAAAAGGTGTGTGTGTGTGTGAAATCCGAGGTTAGCTGGATACAATGCCGTTGGTGGGCTGCTGGGACCGCTGGCTCTGACAGTGTTGCACTACTGTCTTCACAAATTAAGCAGTGCAATAATATTGTCAAAGCATTTGGTTCCAGTCCTCGTACATCCTTGCTTAATTATGACCAGCCCAGTGTTGCAGCACACTCTTCACTTTGCTGGTTGCTGAATCCTATTTTAAGTAGACAAAACCTCCCTGTCCCTCCCCTTTGACTTCTGAGGACTTCCTTCTTTTTTAAAAGCTTGATAATGGTCTTTTTTGGTGGGGGAACCTAATATGAAACCTGGTCCAAAATGATGAAAGCACCCAGTTTTTGTTTTAATTTATGTTAAAAGGGTAATTTGTGCCTATTAGGTTTCTGGTTCTTGGTGGTGGCAGTATACAACTGTAGGTGTTTGTGTCCCAAGACAGTGCAAATGGTCAGTAAAATACCACTTTTCAGAACCAGCCCTTGACTTAGCTAGGTCTGTCTTGTCTTCCTGTGTTTTGTTCCAGGGAGATGTGAATGAATTTGGTGAAGAGATATAGTCTTTTCGTAAGGAAAGCAAAATCTGTATCTCACAGAGTTTTGATTCTCTGGTGGCTTCCTTCAAAGTTCCCTTTTAGTTACGTTTGACAAGCGGATAGGCTTTCTATTTATTTGTTTTTAAAAAGTGGAATTATTAGTGAGGTCAAAATAATCGAAAAATCCTCCTTTTCTAAACAAAACAAAACCTATCCCGTCAATAGAGGTGATACGTACATAACAGGATCTATGTGCAATGAAAATGTGTGGGGTTTTTTCAACAATCTGGGATATTTATCTGATGCTTGGAGGCTTATAAACAGCAACATGGTGTTAGGAATCGGTCTCTCTTCATTAACAATAAGTTGGAGATGGTCACTGAAATGGCTTCGGCAGAAAGCAGGCGGTGGAATGTTTTTGAACAGCTAGAAAGGGGGGGAAAGGGGCATTGGAAGTTTGGAAGTGGGGTGGGGGGTGGGGAGAGAAGAGGGACCCTTTTTGAATAACTTTTGAAAGAGAGAAGGGAGAGGGGTGGAAAGAGATGCGGTAATGCTGGAAATCGGATCTTTGTGGATTTGCCTTCTGGCTGGAATGTGCAGATAGACCATTTCCAGAAGAAATTAGAACATCTTTTTTCTATCGTTTGTGCTGCATCTTTAGCGCAGGGCAGAGGTGAGGAACCTGTGCCCCCTCCAGCTGTTCTTGTATTGCAACTACAATTTTCCTTGACCCATTGGCCGTGCTGACTGGGGCTGGTGAAAGTTGCAGCCCAGCAACTTCTGAAGGGACACAGGTTGCCCCACCCCTGGCTTAAGAGAGTTGTGTGTGTTGCTCTGTCAGAATCCACAAATGCTTTAGCGATGATCTTTGCCAGCCATGCTTTTCTGTTTCTGCATATGATGTCAGGGGTCAGACATCTTCCTCTTTCAGATCAGTATCCTGAAGGGGGATCTATGCGACCAAAGTGTCAGCGGGGCTTGATTCGGCCGGAAAGGCAGAAGGCATCAGATCTGGTGTGCTTTGTAATATGAACACAGGCAACCTGTTGTCTCCCATTTTTGTTATTTCACTGTCTGGCAAGGGCTGCAATCCATCCCATGCTTACCTGTGAGTAAGGCCCACTGAAGCCAGTAGGACTGAACTTCCAAGTAAACGTACTTTGGACTGAACTTTGCTTTGAGGTACACACCACGTTCCGGGTAAAACTGGTCTGAAAAATAACAGCTTGCTTTGCACCTAAGGAGTTTTCTTTCCCTTCCACCATCCCAGTCCTGGATTGGCTATTAAAACTTGGATTTTGGCACGTAGGAATTTCCAGCCCTTTGCCTAGCACACCCTCAGCAGAGAATGCGTTTTCGCATTCCTTTTATCTTCAGTCATTGCTTTGTTGCCATAGGTATGCTGCGCTCTGTCTCGACTCATAATCATACTTATCAGTTAGCAGTTTTAAAGCACTTTTCTCTACTCCAGCCTCCCTTATACCTAGTGTCCTCCAGTTCAGGGGTGAGGAAGCTGTAGCCCTCCAGCTTTTGCTGAACTACAGTTCCCTTCCTCCCTGACCATTAGGCATGCTGGCTGGTGCTGATGGAGGGGTGGGAGTTGCAGCCCAGCGTTATCTGGAGAGCCAAAGGTCCCCTTTCTGCCCTATAAGCTGTGGGCTGGTGGGAGTTGTAGGTCGCATCCACACAATGCATTTAAAGCACTGTGGTACCGCTTTCAAAAGTCATGGCTTCCCCCAAATAATCCTGCAGTTTGTTAAATGTTAGGAGCTGGAGTTCCTAGAGTGGTTTAACAACCACTCCTTCCCAGGGAACTGTATCTGTGTGAGTGGAATGGGGGGGACGGGACGATTTCCTAACAACTCTCGGCACCCATAACAAAACAACAACTCCCAGAATCCTTTGGGGGAAGCCATGACTGTTTATAGTGGCACCCTATACATGTGAATGTGGCCTCAAGTTAAGTTTTGGGACCAAGGAGGGGTTTTGTTTGTGACATTTAAGTCCCACACTCTTAACCACGGCACCCCACTGTTTTTTAGGGTCAGTAGGTTAAGATGCCAACCTAGCAGTTCGAAAGCACATCAAAGTGCAAGTAGATAAATAGGTACCGCTCCAGCGGGAAGGTAAACGGTGTTTCCATGCGCTGCTCTGGTTAGCCAGAAGCGGCTTAGTCATGCTGGCCACATGACCCGGAAGCTGTCTGCGGACAAACGCCGGCTCCCTCGGCCTATAGAGCGAGATGAGCGCCGCAACCCCAAAGTCGGTCACGACTGGACTTAATGGTCAGGGGTCCCTTTACCTTTACTTTAGGTTAAGATATCTCCACGGAGGGAGGCAAAATGGGTGGGTGGGGAAGTTAACCGAGGCCTTTCTGGAAATGGTCGGATGCCGCTGTTAGACGTGAAACCTCTTTTTGGGAGGTTCTTTTTAGGTACGGGTTTCAAAGGCTCTTCTATTAATTTACTTTAGTTCAGGGGTGGAGAACATCAGGCCTGGGAGCTGAGGCGGCCCCCAGGCCTCTCTTATGCGGCCCTCAGCAGCCAGGCCACACCTTTGGTGACTTCGAGCTCTGATAATGCTTCTCTCTCCTGACTAGAAGACAGAGAGGGGTGCTTGAGTGTAGAAAGCAGTTATACAATTCACATTCATTGCCCCACGCATTTTTGCTCCTTAACCCAGTCCGCCATTGGCAAGCAGCCCCTGTAAGAGAATGTGGCCCTCAGCCTGAAAAGCGTTCCCTGCTCTCTGCCAGGCCTGTTTGCACCCATCTGCCCCGTCTCGCCTCGCAAGGCGTCCCCACTGCCCTTGTTGATACGTGGCGTGTTGCACATACCTGAGCAGGCCTCCCCTTTCCTAGCAGTTGACAAACTGGTCTGGCTGAGTCACGATGGGAAGGGGAGCGGAGCGGGAAGGAAGCAGAATAGAAATGCCCAGGAAATAATGGGCAGGTAGTTTATACAGGTCGCAGAATCGCTCTTTGCTAGCTTCAGATTTAAGTGCTTAGTATATATAAACACCTTGCAGAGCCTTGATAGATTTAGCATTGATTTGATCTATGCTGGAAGGCTCTGGGATTCCATTATTATTATTATTATTATTAGAGTCGTAATAATACGACAAAAGCTTGTGTCTTGTGGGAGTATATAGAAGCTGGGAGGATTCCTAATGGATCTAGAAAAGAGACTTTTCTAGTCCAGTTTAGTGGGAGATGGAGGTGGCGGGTGGTTAGGAAACAAGGCCTTTGCAGAAATGGAAATGTGGATGTTTTTGGAGCTGGTGTGTTCCTTTTTTTATTTTTTAAGTGGAACAAAGTTCATCTGTTCTGCTTTGCTGCCAGACTCAAAACACGAGAGAGATTGTCTGTAACCTCCTTTTCCAACCTGGTGCCCTCTGTAGACGTTTCGGACTACGAAAGCCATGTTGACTGGGACTGATGGGAGTTGTAGTCGAAAACTGGTGGGAGAAGGCTGGAGAGTCTGAGTAGGGCTTTCTTTGTCTCTCCGTCTCTCTCTCTGTGTGTGTTTGTGTGTGGTATGAAGTCTTTCCTACCTTTTAAAAAAAGAAAGGTGCAGCAGTGGCTGCTTTGAATTTTTTCACTGTGCCCCTTAAACCCCGAGCCTCAATGATTCATTGAGAAAGTGCATTCCAAGAATCTGCAACTCTTGGGAGTGACTCTGAAAAAAATTATATATCGTGGTGTGTGTTTTAAATTAAAAAAAAAATTAAAAAAAGGGAAAATGCAGGAGGGAACCGGATCTCCTTTTGAGAGGGGTGTCTGTTGTGGGAGGAGAAGGCTTCCTGAGACACTCTGAAGAATGGAGGTTCTGCATTCCAGAGGTGGCTTATTTCTGACCCTGGCTAGCCAAGGAATTTCACAGTGAACAGGAGAAGGGGTGGGATTCTTGGTTGGGAGAGAGAGAGGCGAATGGGAGGGGCGCGAGGGGCTTCAGAAGCAAAGGGCCCCCCTCCTGGCTTGTATTTACAAAGGAAACTCTCTCTCTCTGTGTGTGTGTGTGTCCCATGTCTGTGTACGCGCTTGCACACACACGTGTGTGCCTGCAACATTCCTAGATTTGTGTCCAATTCGGCAGTGGACATCAGGGGGGCCGATTGGAATGCAAGGAATCAAATCGGCCTGAGGTGGCAAAGGGTGATGGAACCGCTTCCATCCTGTTATTGCATAAACTTGTTAAAGAGAACCCCTCTCTCTCTTTTTAAAAAAGGAGCCATGCGTAGGATATCAGTGCTTGCTGAGGAAGGTTTGACTGTGTGTGTTTTTGTGAAGTTTTGACCTGCCTACACAGCTCATTGGGATGGCGGGTGAAATCAGATGGATGATACGCGCACACACATATATATTCAGGAGCAAAATGGTGTTTGTTTGGCGGGCGTCTTCATCATCCTGTCCCTCCACCGAGGAGGACATACTTTCTCTCTGAGTCATTGCAGTGGCCAGATTCTTGCCTTTAAAAAAAAAAATCACGCACATGGGTGGTTTGTGGAGAGAGGGGAGGTTTCGGCATGAGGGAGGGAGGAGACCTGTTCCTTTCTTTAGACTGAGTTTCCATTGTCGGGGGGAAAGGTGGGACGTGAAACAGAACGGCTGCGTAGTAGCAATATTGTTAACTAGCGCTAGGAGTGCCCAGCGCTGCGTGGGAATTGGTCGAACCCCCCCAAATTTTGTAGTTTTAAAAAAGGGGATAGTGTAATTTGCGAGTTTTAGGGCTCATGCAAACACACGCTAACCCAAGGCTCCACCCTTTCCAGGATCTGAATTAATTTGTTTTTGTCTCTGTGTGTGGAGGCTAATGCTTAATAAGGGTTAATTTGGTCCGCCATCTTGATTCAAAATGGCGTCCGGCATCCAAACGTTGACAAAGACTGCCGGCCGCACCTTGAGAATCCTTGTGCCAAGTTTGGTGCCTATTTCTTGAGAGCAGTGTTAGAAACTCAGATATACAAGCTAATTGCAAAATGCCACCTTAAACCTAGGTTGCGGTTGCCACTACGGAATGTCTGGGTGCCATATATTTTTTTATGAGACATTAATAATGATGATAATAATTTCATTTTATACCACTTTATATTTTAAATAAATAATCTCAGAGCGGTTTACAACACATTAAAACATCAAATCAAGCAATCCAGACTAAAACAAATTCAAGCTTTAAGGAAAATATTTCAGATCCTTCTCTACGTGACATTTTGCTTTGCCCATGTTTGTTTACCTACTTAATTTATAGAGCTGCCCCATAGCAGAAGTACGCTCGGAAGGCAGGGTGGTATAGTGGCTAGAGCAGAGCTTTCCAAACTCTGTGTCACGACACGTTAGTGTGTCACACGAATGCTTCCTGCGTTCCTCCCAGACTGGAACTGGGTTAGTTCAACCTCCAGTTTGCTAGTAAAAATGAATTACTGTGTCACGAAATGATGCAAGTCTAAAAAGTGTGTCACTGACATGAAAAGCTGGAAAAGCTCTAGGTTAGAGTGTGGGACTAGGACCTGGGTGATCAGGGTTCAAATCCTCACTCAGTCATGAAGCTCACTGTGTAACCTTGGAGTCAGTTGCTGCCTCCTAACCTACCTCACAGTGTCGTTGTAGGGATTAATTGAGGAAGGTGGAGTGAACCATGGAATAAATAAGCTTACTTGCTTATGAAAGCTAGAGGGGCCAGCCAGGTGGAGATGTCAGTCGTTAACCTGGCACCCAGAGATCTCCACGTGGTCACAATTGTACCCGCGCCAGTTGCAAAAACGTGCCTCATGCTGGCTAATTTCTAACATTGCTCGAGAGGCGTCTGAACCAATAGAGAACAGATGAGCAAACAGACAGAGACCACTTTCCAAAATAGATAGTAAGGTAAAGGGACCCCTGACCATTAGGTCCAGTCACAGACGACTCTGGGGTTGCAGCGCTCATCTCGCTTTGTTGGCCAAGGGAGCTGGCGTACAGCTTCCGGGTCATGTGGCCAGCATGACTAAGCTGCTTCTGGCGAACCAGAGCAGCGCACGGAAACGCCGTTTACCTTCCCGCTGGTGCAGTACCTATTTATCTACTTGCACTTTGACGTGCTTTCGAACTGCTAAGTGGGCAGGAGCTGGGACCGAGCAACGGGAGCTCAACCCGTCACGGGGATTCGAACCGCCGACCTTCTGATCGGCAAGTCCTAGGTTCTGTGGTTTAACCCACAGCACCACCCGCGTCCCAAAAAATAGATAGTAGATAGATAAATAGATAGTAGGTAGATAGATAAATAACATCTGGGGGTAAGTAACGCAGAAACACGTTCCATGGGAGGCGATGCTCACTGTGTTCTGAGGATTCTGGGTAGGCTTCCAAGCATACTGGGATCAGGGAGATTTGATCTATCCTTACTTGGGGCATCGCAACTCTGCTGTCTTTAGCAATGGGTGATGCGTTTAAATACCTCTTATGTATAGAAAGCTGCTTCATGCTGAGTTGGACCATTAGGTCCACCTAGTATTGTCAACACTGAGCGGTAGCATCTCCTGCCAGATTATAGACTCTGTTCTTGCCCCCACCTACCTGCCAGGAATCGATCCTGGAACCTTTTATATTTATTCTTCTATTTTGTGGATCGCACTTAGAACCCACCTTTTCTTCAAGGCATATATAGTTCTCGTCCTCCCTGTTTTATCCTCACAACATCCCTGGCAGGTAGGTTAGTCTGAAAGCGAGTCCCTGGTGCAAGATCACTCTGTGAGCTTCCTTGCTGAGTGGAGATTTGAACCCAGGTCTCCCAGTTGCTAGTCTAGCGCTCTAACGGCTGCACAGCACTGGCTCACATGTGCTCTGCTGCTATACGGTCCTTTCCAAAGTCTTTCAGGATTTTGGCTGTTTGTCTGATGGGGGATAGGGGACACGGGTGGCGCTGTGGGTTAAACCACAGAGCCTAGGACTTGCCGATCAGAAGGTCGGCGGTTCAAATCCCTGTGACAGGGTAAGCTCCCGTTGCTCGGTCCCTGCTCCTGCCAACCTAGCAGTTCAAAAGCCTGTCGAAGTGCAAGTAGATAAATAGGTACCGCTCCGGCGGGAAGGTAAACGGCATTTCCGTGCACTGCTCTGGTTTGCCAGAAGCGGCTTAGCCATGCTGGCCACATGACCTGGAAGCTGTACGCCGGCTCCCTCAGCCAATAAAGCGAGATGAGCGCCGCAACCCCAGAGTCGGTCACGACTTGACCTAATGGTCAGGGGTACCTTTACCTTTACCTTACCTGATGGGGGATATGTCAGGGATCAGCAACGTAGTGTATTGCAGATGTTGTTGGACCCATCATCTCTGACCCATCATCTCTGACCAGAGGCCATGTTAGCTGGGGCTGATGAGAGTTGGAGCCCAACATCTGGAGGGGTGGACCATGTTGCCTCTCCCTGATCTGTGCAGTGCTCTCAGTCTTCCAGCCCTGAGTTGTTGTTGTTTTTTCAGTGACAGAAATCAGTGCTGGGAAAAGGACCAAGTGTGGGGTTTCCTAGAAACTTTATACTAGGAATCCCGGGGTTCTCTCCCAAAGTCTGGAAGCTGGCACCTATTGAAATGCAAAACATTTTCCTAGGCAGGGATGGAATCTTAATAGACAATTCATGCGTCACGCTTGTTAACTGCAAAATGCTCTCACAGATCCCAAGCAAAATGTACGGGCAATAAGAACCATAGCTGTCAACGTTTCCCTTTTTTTTTAAGGGAGATTCCCTTATTCCGAATAGGATTCCTCGCAAGAAAATGGAAAAGTTGACAGCTATGATAAGAACTCTGCCATAAACACAGGTTGAAAGCGCGTTCAGAATTTCCCCCGTCTGGTTGTGCTGTCTGGGAATGATGGGAGTTGTAGCACAAAACCCTCTAGAGGGCACCAGGTTGGGGAATGCTGGCATAGTTTTTGTTTGTGGTGGGGATTGATTAGAATGTTGGGAGTTGGAATGGGAAGATCTGAGTTCAAATCTTCCCTCAGCCATGAAGCACGCTTAGGTGAGCTTGGTCAACTTATTACTAGCTTTGCAGGGTGGTCATGAGGATAAAATGGAAGTGGGAGGACAACGTGCCCCAAGGATGTACGGATGTTAAGCTTGTTGTGGTCTTTTTGTTTTCACTAGCCAGGGATTTGGTTCAAATGTCATATATTTAGAATTTTTAAAAAATCAGCCTCTAAACTAGTTCTGAGCATCCAAACTGAACAGAACTCCCAATCCTTTCTCGCAGAATTCTGCTTCTGGTTTTCACCAGTATTGTTCCTTTCACCAGTATAATTTAGGGTGTGTGCATGGAGTCATTTTGTTGCTGCTATTGTTAAAAATATTAGGGGGATGGAAACCTTGGCCGCTCTACTGCAGACCACTAATTCATAGATCTACCAGCCATTCTAGAATGCACCTTCTGCCTGAGTAGACCATTGCTTGGAGGAATGGCAGGATGCTCATGCAATAAATAAAGACACCCCCTCCTTTTTTTAGCCACACTTTAACCAAAGTTTGTGAGCTGTAAGTGGTGCTTAAAAGCTTTTGAAAGGCTACTACTAGAAATCTCCAAGATGTGCCCCTAACACGTGGAAGACGTGTGTTGTAATTAAGGTCACTTTGGGTATCGTAATTAAGGTCACTTGATGCTGGTTAATTGCATTATTACTTTTATTTCAATTTCTTTCCTGCCCTTCAGTGTAAGGTCCCAGCAATTAAAAAACCCCAAATTAAAAACAGTGCATTGATTATTTTGTTTATTTATCTATTTAAAAATATATATTTATATCCTGCTATCCACCAACAAGTATCAAATCACTTTGCAACGGTTATGCCTAAAACCATGTAAAAATGTTAAAAACCACAAATCAGCTAAAAATTATGGAAAAATCTATTCTTAATTGGCTGCCTAAGCCTGGCAGAATAGAAACATTTTCAGCGGGCATTTAAATGTTGAAACAGAAGACAGGCTTAATCTCTACCTGGCAGAGTATTCCATAATTTAAAACAAGTGATGCACATTTAGTGATCATTTGGGTGGGCTGTTTCCCTCCCCTTTTGAATTAAATTTATATCCCACCCATCCTCTCAAAGGAGCCCAAGGTGGCAAACACACACGTTATAAAACAAATAAAAGCACTTTAAAACTTTCTCCTTTTCAAAGTTTATTATTAATAAATAAAATAAACAAATGCTAGAAATACTGTTACAGCAGGCTGAAAACAGGATAAGGTTGGGCATTATAACTGAACTTGTTCCAAAACATTGCAAAAAATAAATAAATACCAATTTCCCCATAAACCTTTTAGGCTGGTTCATATGTATTCTTTTGTAATAAGTTAGCTCAGCTATAGTGACTAGGGACCAAATTTTCTCAGTTCATTTAGATATAGTAGGAGATGAAAAAAGAGAGAAAAAGAACAATTTCATAGAACTGGAAGGGACCCTGGTGATCATCTAGTCCAACCCCTTCCAAAGCAGGAATTATGCAGCT